GAAAGGGTGAGGGAAGGCGGAGGGGGGGGCGAGGAGGAGGTTGCGGGGCTGTGTGGGAAGAGGGGGAGCCCGGGCGGCGCTCCGGGAGTGGCCTTGGGGTGGGTGGTAGGCGGTGCAGGGCACACGGTGGTAACGGAGCTGCCGCCGTCCTACGGCCCCTCACTGTGGCGTTGGCAAGTTGGCCGCTTACCGCCCGGATTGACCGAGTCCGTAATTCTGCGGTGGCAGAAGAGATACTCAGTCAGGGAGTGTTTAGGCATTGGGCAGCTGATGGGGTGAAGCGTGCTGTGAAGTTTCCACCAAAGTGGGCAAACGCCACTCTTACATGTAAATTTGGGCCTCTGAAACCAAAATCTGAGGAAAACATTTCTTGTTTTGGAGTCTCCACTCAGTTTAAGTGCTAATGCCATTAATGAGCAGGGAAGCAAGAGGTGCTGTGCGCAGGACTTGAGGGGGGTGTTGGATTCCGCACGCTGTCCAGGCTTCTGCAGTATTTGTGCTGGAGTTTGTAGAACAGCCTGGCTTGTCCACCCACGTACACTAGCGTGATTCCTCGTGTGGATACCTGTTGTATAACAATGTGCGTTTTTCTGATTTAGCATATAGTGCCTCCAAACCGACAGGAGATCATATGGTTTGGGAAGCAGCTTGTGCTAAACTGGAAAAAACGTTATTTCAGAACAAGCATGCGGAGGAGAACGTAGCAGTAAGTCCTGCCAGTAACAGGCATTTTATGCCTGTATATTTAAAATAAAATATTCAGGAAATATTTTCATATTAAGAAATACAACTTTAATATTTCTTACCCTGTTCCTGCCTTTTTTTAAATCAGGTTCATATTTCCTCATTTCTGCACAAAGGTGTTGAGAGTAGATTTGGTGGTGGTGGTGGGCCAGCGTGAGCGTCCGGGAATGCTTAACCTGCCATGAAGGAGATGTGAGCCTTGTCACACAGGGTGCCTTCGGCACTTGCCTTTCCCTTGTTGCTGCGTACTGGAGGTCTCGCTAGTCTTGAAACAAAAAAATCATCAACAACAAAAAGTATAGTTAAGGGTGTAGAAGATGCGGTTTCTTTTGCCTTCCGTCTCCTGTTCTTGTAGTGTGATCGAGGAGGAGCATGGAGACGGTGGTGTTTTTTTGACATTCACATGGTGCTGCTGCAGTAAAATGAGTCATCGTTCCTCCCTGCCACCACACAGCAGCTAGTGTGCATTTTTTAGCAAGAACGAGTGAAAGTTTGCAGGGCACGGTTCTTTCTAATCAACTGCTGTTAATTCCTTTTGTGTTCACAAAAACAAGTGAAACAGCCTCCCTCTAAAAGGCTATTAAAACTGCTAATGATTGATGCAACTTGATGAGAGTACATGTAAACCAGAATATAATTTTTAATTAAGTCAGCTTCCCTCCCTCACCCTGCACTGCTGCCCCAGAGCCAAACAAAAACTTCCTCCCCTTTCCCTCCGTCAAGCTAAGCAAAATGCTGGCTGGTCTGTATGTCTCAAACATTTTGCAATCGTTTATGCTTAGAGTTCTTAACTGAATATAATGGAAGGGAAATTTCATATAGAAATGGAATATTTTTACAGTGATTAGGAAAATGATGTCTTATTGCTTTATGTTCTGTAATTAGGTAAAACACCAAAGAGAGTCTGTAACCTCCTTTCTTGTTGTGCTGCATCATTTCTTGTTGATATAAATAAAACATAGGATGGATCCATAACATCAGTGTGTCATGCTGTGCCTCCTACAGAGAAGGTTCTATAAACTATGCAATATTTAAAAAAAAAAAGTGAGGTGAAGCAGAAAGAAGACCATTGACTAAACATTTTGTAAAGAATACGTTTAACAAATGTGTCTGAAGAGGGAAAGAAAAAGTTCTCCAAAACCAGCTTATAGCATCATCTTCATTGTTCTCTTGTCCTCCCACTCTAAGAAATAGTAAGATCTTGGTGAAAGAGGGTGGTGCTGCTCTCATTTCTGAAGGAAGACTCCTTCCTTCTGGAGCATCTTTTTTTTGTAAGGTTTGCCTATAGTACCTTTCAGATATGATAATCACTCCACCTTTTAAATTTTTAACTCTGGATTATTTTTTAAGAAGATACTAATTGCAAAGGCAGGCAACTAGATAGACTATTGTAAAGATATTTTTCTGCCTATCTTGTAATGTAATAGCTCTCAAGATCTAAACGATGTTTTTCAGCACTATTGGGATTATCCGTTACCCAGCAGCTATTGGTGTAAGAATCCTGCGGATTGGTTTCAAAGGTTATGATAACATCTATTTTAGATATAGCGCGGTCTATAAACACTGTTTCTGTTAAAAGGAATAGGATCAAGTAATACAGTTACAAATGTGTGATAATTACGTTGCATTTGTTTTGGGTGAGTGTTTGCAGGCGTACATTATATGGTAATGCACAGAACAGTCAGTGAAACCAGGATTTTGGAGAGGTATATTTTTTATTTTCACTATGTTTTTTAATTTATTTTAGAATATCTATACAGATTTTGTATAGATAAATGCAGTATTTATGTTTCCAGAATAAAACATACTGATAATGTAACCGTCCTCTTGCCTGAAAGTAATTCTAGGATTGACACCTGGAACTGAGAAATGGGAAGAAAGTATTCATTTTTAAATACTGTTTTGTACCTGAAATCCTTTGCGGAGTCATATTATTTGGTTCCCTAGTAGTTGCCTGTGCTGGGTTTGTGTGTATGCTGGGGTTTGTGTGTGTATCTTTGGTATATACACAGGAGAGGCTGACAGCAGTGAAACTGTCTAAAATACCAGCAAGAGTCTTTGCATGAATATAGAGCTTCAGTTTACTTCTAACTCTCTTGCTTTATGTGTGCAGTTACATTGTTCAGGTTTGTGCTACTTCAAACACTGTATTCAGCATCCTACAAGAAGTTAAGTTATCTAGCACCATGGTGTACAGACAGAAGACGTTTAGAATTGAGATAAGGAAGTACTACTGTAGTGAAAATCTGAAGTGACAGACTTCATTTATTATTTTCTTCCAAGAAAAGTTGTTCTTTAGCCTTTCAAAAATAAATTACCAGCTTTTGACCCTTTCTATAGAATGGGGATTTTGCTGTAACAGCAAGAAAATTATTTTTCACAAGTTTACAAATACAAAAGTTGCTTTCCTGTGAAAGGCTGTAGCCTGAGAATATTGAATGCTTTTCTGCGATTCTCTGATTTTTCTCTGTATCTTAGTCTTTGCTGACTGATTTCTACACAATATTCTGTATGCACTTGTTAGCAGAGAGTGAGGAAGAGGATGACAATGAAATGGAAGTCGAAGATCAAGATAGTAAAGAAGCTGAAAAGCCAAACATCATTAATTTTGATACCAGTTTGCCAACATCACATGTGGTATGTCTTTTATATATTGTCCATTAAATATGTTTTGAAGAGGTTTTGACTGTTTTTGTGTAATTCTATTGTAATATCCTGAAGTCAAAGACCTAGTTTGATTTTATCCTTGTAAATCACTAAAACCTCTTATACTACTGTCATTTCCTTACTTATTGTTTTCAGTATTTAGGCTCTGATATGGAAGAGTTTCATGGAAGAACGGTGCACGATGATGACAGCTGTCAGGTGATTCCAGTGTTGCCGCACGTGATGGTGATGTTGATTCCTGGACAGACGCTACCTCTTCAGCTTTTTCGCCCTCAAGAGGTTAGCATGGTGCGGAATTTAATTCAGAAAGACAGAACGTTTGCTGTTCTTGCATACAGGTAAAATACATGAGTGGGTTTACTGATGGTATGCAGCATGTATTTTTAGCACAACTTCTTTGGATACTAAATCAAAAGCAGATGGTGGCATCAGTTCTGTGGTGATTAGCATAAGTTACGGTTTGAAACTGTTTGACAAAAATTGTCTTCCAATATGTAATGAAAGGGCTTTCGTGTCATACCGGGTAGCTGCTTGACAGTATTGCATGTTTGTATAGAGAAACACTGTTGGTCTGCTTTCCTTGTTTGACCTTCCTCTTGATTTCAGTAGCTGTTTGAATGCACTGCTCCATCTTGCTTAAAGAACAAGCCTTGATCTGAAATGTAAAAATCAGATTCTTGTTTTGAGAACTGTATTGTTGTAGAGGTGTATTTGCTGATTCTGTATATAAATTAACAAGCACAGACAGATGTTTTACAATGGAGTGGAGAGACGGGAGGCGATAGAATAGCAGAAAAGATAAAGGCTAATCTGTGCTAAAAGAAGTTGGCAATGTTCCTCCCTCTTCCCCCCCAATTTACTATGGTTTAATTAGGTAGGAGGTGGGAATAGTTATTCTTTAGATTGACTGTATAAAAATTTTGGTACTTTCAGTGTCTGCATTTCAAATGGAGATACATTGGTGATCCCTGTGTTCCCAAAATGTCACCTCTAGACCCTAAAATAAAACCAAGTCAACTGGCAAAAAACCGCAACTAAACAAAACATTGGAAGTTGCTTTTAAAATGGAAAAGTAATGATTGCGATTAGTTGAAGGTATTTTACCAAATTTATTTTTTTATAAGACTAATCATGTAGAGTCAGTGCAGGTAGACTACCTTGTGAAATGTGAATGAACACTGCTGTTTGGAGGGTAGGTAACTTTTTTTAATTCTGTTACTTTTAGTAACGTACGTGAAAGGGAAGCACAATTTGGAACAACAGCAGAGATTTATGCCTACAGAGAAGAGCAGGAATATGGAATTGAAACGGTCAAAGTGAAAGCAATAGGAAGACAGAGGTTCAAGGTGCTTGAAATAAGAACTCAGTCAGATGGGTAAGAAAATCATGTATTTAATTCTACATACTGCAAATCTTGTTTCACCAAAATATTTACATTTTACTGCAGGTGCATCTGCCCTTTCAGTCACACAGTTGACCAGTTACTATAGATATTAATTGAATGCTTAATCAGTAACTTCTCTGGTTAATAAGGACTTCTGACATTTCCTGTTCTAAGATTCATGTTTTAGTTGTTAACAACTTTGCTATAAAATTCCCTAAAGAATATCTGCCTGTAGTTTGATTTGATGTGTGTGAGAAGACATCTGTCAGAATTACTTTGTTTCTGAAAATTAAGGGAGGAAAAAGATGTTGATTTGCCTGCGTTACAAGTTCTAAAGCCTTATTTCAAAATCTCTCACATCCCTGTTTCAAACCAGATGTAAAATGAGAGGATACAATATCAAGTGTGCACCTTCTGGTGTCTTGTGGAAAGCCTCCCTGATCGCGACCAGATTCTGTTCCTTTGAAAAATTGTAACTTTTGTTTTCTGAAAGGAGTCCTTTCTAGACATGGTCTGCATTGGACATGTTCCACTTCATAACTTTATGTACAATTGCAGCTCTGAGAGGCTGCAAACAAGGGTCTGACACTACAGCTAATAACAATATGCTGGTCTTTTTTTGTACTTTGATCTTTAACTACTGAGACTCAACAGTGTGCAGAAGGATTCAGCTGCATAATTCAGAATATGGAGAGGACAGTAACTGTGCCCAGAGGGGTAGTGGTTTTTCTGAGAAGCTTCCCATGAAAGAGGAGGACTGAAGTCTGATAATAATAATGGAGAAACAGGTCACTTCTCTTGTTTGTTTTTTTCCTTTGTAAAACCTAAAAGCACAGTGAGGTTTGTGGATAAATATTTCAATATGAAAATAGGTTCTTGATTTTTGCTAACTATAAGCAGCCCATAATGTTCAGTTTCTCAAATACTTAATCTTGTTTATTTTAAGCATTGTGACAACTTAGTACATCCTTACCTCTTTCTTTCTGACCGTTCACTGATAGAAATGTGCTGTTTCTGTTATTAGTTGACAATTCTTTCCATGTGCTTGTCAAACACACTCAAATCAGCTTTGATAGGAGTATTCTCTTCTATGTTCTAGTCCTGTTCTTTTCCATATTCCAGTGTGATACCTGTGATACTTAAAAGCTCCTCGTCTAGCCAGTTTTATCATATTATGTAATTAATACCTTCATCCATTTATAAAAGTGACTAAGACCCTTAACATTTGGTTAAGAGTATTCTGAGTCTTCTGTCGTTTTCAAGTTCCTCTTGACATGCCACTCTGCACCATGCATTGCATCACGAGCCTCTGTCAACATCACTGTCTAGAGACAGAGGCTCCAGACACTGATCCTGTGACCACGGGACAATTCTTAGCTAGAGGTTTTTGTAATCTTTTCTGCAAGGCCTATAACATCTTACTCCAATCTGTAAATCTGAAACTAATCATCTGTGTTCTGCTATTGTGCAGTACAGTGGCATTGCTTTAGAAAGAGGCCTGCGAACAATCTGAGCTCAGCATTTTTGTATGCTGTTATGACCTGCAGCTGAAGAAATGAAGAATACGTGTGCTACTTGCTATTTCTATCTAACAATTGGTACAAATAACATATTCCAGATCTTACAGCTTAGAAGAGTCATTGCTTGAACACAAGATGGCAGTACTTGGACGACTACAGTAACAGCAGCATTGTTACTGAGAACTCAGTACCTAGAAGCAGTTAAGATGTGCAGTGATTTGTTGTTGTGCTGTTAAAGCATTTCTTTCTTATGATGACTTTCTATCTACTGACTAGCAGAGATCACTTTTATACAGCTTGTTCACAGGCTTCATTCATAAATAGGCATTTTTAAATGTACGAAATAAAGGAGGTGAGATCCATTTCCCACCCCCTGCCCCCATCATGGCAAGCTCTAGATTTGTTGGAATGACTTAAACTATATAGTTACTCTAATTTCAAATACTGCACATTTTGTGGGTTTGGGGAGTGATTAGTGAACTTGAACCTCCTAGTATGGTCAGTGCACTTTGGAGACACAAGCCTGCGCTCTTCAGTTCATCCTGAGGAAATGAACCTTTTGCAGATTGAGACGCTCTCTAGGCTCCTGTGCCTATGTGCTAACTCTTTCTATGAATGAGCTTGGTAGTGTGGCAGTTTACTGCCCCTTTTGTCTCTACATCAGAGGGACATAAGAAGGGAATGTGACAGAAGAAGAATGTAACGTTCCATTTCTACAAATAAAACATTTTCATTACGATCACGTTCCTAATTTTCATGTATTGAAGGCAACTAACAAAAGAAGCAAGCATTACCAGATATAAATCCATTTTGATGAACAGTGAAAAATACTGAACTTCTTAGCAGGAAGAAAATTGCCATAGTTCTTGGGGTTTCTGATTACTAAATGCTTATGGCAAAATACCATTTTATAATTTACAGTAAGTTAACAGTGTTCAGTGTTGTCCCTGTAAGTGAAATTGGAAATTTGTAATGACATGCATCTTAATATTTCAGGATTTCTGATGCATAATACTGTAAAGTCCTTCCTGCTAGACAGTACTCTTAGTAACCACAGAACTGTTGCTGAACTCTTTGTGGAATAGGTGACCTGGTTGATGCTAGGATATTAAAAGATGATCAGAGTCTCTTTCTGCTGATTTTGAACTCTAGCTAAGCACAGAAGCTTTTGTGGTTTGAAGATAGCAAACTGCATTTCAGCTAAGCTTCCTTTGTGAGGGTTTGATATGTGATAGCTGACTATTAGTTTATACCAAAAGTAATTTGAGGAGACAAAAATCTAAAAATACAATGCTGAGATGGTAGAATATTCTGCTGTGTTGCCACTGTCTTTAATTCTGTCCACCACAATCCCAACAGATATCTAGTGCTCTGAAGTACAAAGACAGCCTGTTATATCCCATGGGAAAGGAGGCTAACTGTTAAAGGGGTGGTGGAGGGGGAACAGCAAAGAAACTTTGCTGAAAAAGTTAAAGCAATGATCTTTGTAGAGTTCTGTGTAGCAGTACGAAATGTATTTGGAAAACAGGTAATTCTGTTCTTTTAAGGGAAAAGTGCCTCTGTCTTCAATTTAGGTAGACTGAAGTCGGGTCAGCATCCTGGCTTTAATAGTTTAGCCAAGGGCATGAGATAATCTGTGTTCTAGAATAGCACGTTTGGTTTGCTACAGATATGCTGTATGTTCCCTAAGGTAATTTGGTTTACATTAGTACAACTTTAAAAATCTGATTAAATGGATTGCTGCTTAAATTCTATAATACTATGCAATGATTAGATCTATTACACAAGCCTATGTTTTTTATAAGCAGAAAAGTCCATTTTTTTAACCTCTTGTGTATGTGTGTATGTCTCATCTTTTTTTTCCTTCTATCAGAATCCAACAGGCTAAAGTACAAATCCTTCCTGAGCGAGTGCTGCCTTCAACAATGTCAGCAGTACAGCTGCAGTCTCTCAGCCGATGCCATATATTTCCTTGTTCGAAACCTACAGCGTGGCAGGACCGAGCTATACATCAGTGGTGGCAGAAATATCAAAAGGTTAGAAGCTAGTTGTGGTGGTGTTTTTCTTTAAATTTTCGGTGGTATTTTGAAAATCAATATAAAATTCCATCTGTTCCTCTTTAGAGGAAGATGCACAACTGGCATGCTGGGTGCCAACCTCTTGCTTTTGTCTTATATTGAGTGATTGCGTATCAGCCATCAACAATGGGGAAATACATGTTTTATAACATGAGTTCTCTTTGGGTTTAATTACAGTATTTTTAGATTAATATTATTATATAATAATTC